TTTGCCCCACTGAAGAGGGCCCTGGTGTATTTGCTGAGGAGAGTCAATGTCCTAGTGGGCCCCAGGGCCTCTGGTGGCTCTGGCCCAGACAGTATTTGCAGTTCTTGTGCTGTGGGTGAGAGTCCTCTTCTTCTGGCTTGGGCAGCTGTGCTGCCTCTGGATGGGCTGCTCCTCCCAGGGCTCAAGGGCTGTGGTCCGCTCAGGGTCTCACCTTTCTCCAGGCCAGGCTCAAGGCAGCAGCCCATTGTGAGGAGCTCCAGGCTTGTGAGGGAGAACTTTAAGCTTGTCTACTCTTAAGGACCTTGTCTGGGCTGTGGGTACAGGTGCCCAGATTCTGCTAATGAGAGTTTTGTCTTAGTCCCAGGGTCAATCAGTCTGTCCATTTGTCCATCTGCCAGCCCTTGTCTCTTAGGAGCTTTCTTTTGGGGTGTAGCCTTGTTCATTAGTAAATACTGACTTGCTTCATGCTTTCCCCAGCAAAATATTCTTTCCCATTTCTGAGGTGAGCTTTTGCCCCTCTGCCCTTCAGCAGGTGCTACCTTTTTACAAAGAACTGGTAGCAAAATGAATTGTAGGAGGTGTTTCCCTGCTGGCTCAGCACCCTCTCTGTGCCCTGGAGTGTGGCCTCCCTCAGCAGTCAACACTGACAGTGGTACAGTGAAGGCCCAAGGGGTGACCTCTTCCTTTCCCATGGTTTTAGTAATTTTAGCTGCCAACCCTTAATGGCACAGAGACCTGCCACCTCCAACACATGTGGCCAGAAGGTGATACTGCACTCACCTAGCCATTGCCAAAGTTAGTGCCCTCACCTCCGAGCCTAGGTGTCATTGTCACTTTTGGCATGTTCCTATTTGGGCATTAAAGGTAAGCCTGCCAGTTGGTGTCTGAGAGGGCTTCGTAACTGATGGACTAATTTCCCGGTCGTTAGAGATGTAGCCTCACACATCTTAAATGGGCTCTGATGGATCCTATCTCTGTCAGCCCTCTGACCCTAGAGCCAGTGGTGGGCAGGTTCCCATTCCTTGGGGCAGCTTCCCTGTTTCTGGTCAGTACCGACCATCTTCTCTCCTGTACCATTCTGTGGCTTCAGCCATAGGGGCAGGAGCTCTTCGTTAGTGTAGACAGACAGACATTTCCTGGCAGGGCAGAGGCTAAGACAAAGGGTCTGGGGCCACTCGGAACCCTTTTGATTGAACCTCTCCAGCCTGGGGATGTGCTATGCCTCCTGAGTTCCTATAGTTTGGGAGCAGATGCTGCCCCGATCTGCTCTTCATAGCGAGAGGCTGTGCCCACTTATATTCAGTGTTTTCCTGGCACTAAAAAGAGCAGAAGAGCCTGGGATTTGCTGCTTCTCCCCCAGGGCAGGTACCCTCTTTTCAGCACTTTTGACACTTGGAGACCCAGCCCTGTTAGCTGGTGGGTAGTGGGCATGTGTGTGTGTGCACATGCTCTCTGCCACTACTCTTTCTCCCTGCTTCATGCCAGAGTCCTCTCTCCCAGGCCCTGCCTTCCCAGCCGCAACTTGGGACCAAAGTGCAACGCGGGGTCATGGGTTGGGGTGCTCAAGTGACCCCCTCTCTATAGTGCTTCCCTGGGCCAAGTCGACACCAGCCCCCCTGGAGGGTGAGGGGGGACAGGCGGTGCTTAAAGAGGAAGGGGACCAGTGTAGCAACTTGTCAGGGACCCCACGGCCCCCCTCACATTGGGGCCTCTGCAGTGGGCGTGGGGAATCCTCCTAAGGGGCCAAAAGTCTGGGCTAGTTCAGTAGCCGCTGCTCAACCTGCTCACAGCTGGCCACGCGCACGCCCCCTAGACGCAGATTGCTTTGAACTTTAAAGCTGTTCAATTTGGTTCTGTTCGTGCCGATTTAAAAAACGTTTTAATGAGGAAAAAATTGGAGAACCCTGGAAAGGACCTGGTTCCTTTGATTCTCGGGGAACTGTAAGGCCTCGCCTCTAGGAATCGCTCTCTGCTCCACTTTTCTATGAGCTGCCTAAGCCTGTTCACGCCGCCCGAGGCCCGCGCCCGGATACTCCACGTGGCTCTGGCCGCGCCTTGGCGCAGTTGTGTTTCCTCGGGACCTTGCGTGCGCCAGAGCGGGGTGCTCGGGTCTCGTGCCGAGCCCACCCCTTTCTGTACACCCAGCGCTGCCCGCCCCGCTTGTGTCTGACGTCGTGTACGTCAAAATAAAGCCGCTAGAACCTGAGGCGTGTCCACGTCTTTGTAAAACCGCTGCGCCTTCCAGCAGACAGCTCCACTCCGCGTTTCTCGGCCCCTTCCCTCGTTCCGCTACTCCCTGGCCGGGCGGGGACGAGGCGGGGGCGGGGCCGGAAGCGGCTGTGTCGTGGCGGACCCGGCACCAGGAGGGAAACGGGCCTCGCCCTTGGCGCCAGTTCCGCCTTTGGATCCGCCAATGGCCAGCTGACCCGCAGGTCCCCCCCTGGTCCCCATGGCAGCCCGGCGCGCTCGGGCTCTCATTGGCTACGTCTGCCGGAGCGCCGCTCCCCAGCGCTCCGACGCCGGCGGCCGTGCCACGTACACGGTAGGCGATTGGCCCGCCCGGGCTCACGTCACTGTCTGCCTGGGTCTGACCAGAGTTCGGGGCCAGTCGCCCTCCATCCGGCGTCGCGTCCTGGTTCGCGGCGGCCTGGGATCCGGCGTTAGGACGGCCTGGGCGGACAAGGCAGAGACAGAGTTGGTCGGTGTGGCAGGTGAAGGGCGCGGGGCCCGGCACGGCTGCGGGAGTTGGCCAGGTGGGCCGTGGACACGTCGGAGCCCAGGACTGACTCTCGAGCTACCCGCAGGCGCGATGAAGGCACTGATCTTGGTGGGCGGCTATGGGACGCGCCTGCGGCCGCTGACACTAAGCATCCCGAAGCCACTGGTGGACTTCTGCAATAAACCCATCTTGCTGCACCAAGTGGAGGCGCTGGCCGCGGTAAGGGCCGGGGTCGTGGTAGGACCTGGCAGGACAAAGGACGGCTAGCGACTGGGGGTCGGGGACGCCCATGCCTTCCGGCTGAGTCCGCCTGTCAGCTGGCGCTGATCTGTCCGACAGGCCGGCGTGGACCACGTGATTCTGGCTGTGAGCTACATGTCTCAGGTGCTGGAGAAGGAAATGAAGGCTCAGGAGCAAAGGGTGAGGCTCGGACTTTTGGCCCTTTCCCTTGGTCCCCGCTCAACCTCCCACCCTAGTGGGAAGAACCTGACGCCGGGGCTTCTCCCTTCCAGCTAGGAATCCGAATCTCCATGTCCCATGAAGAGGAGCCTTTGGGGACAGGTCAGTAGAGACTAAAGTTCCTTGGGGAGGGTTTAGGGCCAGGAAAGGGGTAAGACCCAGCCTGGATGGGGCTGGCTGAGCTTGGATCCAGGCGCTCAGAGCCCCCAGGAAGATAGTGACCTGTCTTCCTTCCCTAGCTGGGCCCCTAGCACTAGCTCGTGACCTGCTCTCTGAAACTGCAGACCCTTTCTTCGTCCTCAATAGTGATGTGATCTGCGATTTCCCCTTCCAAGCCATGGTGCAGTTCCACCGGCACCATGGCCAGGAGGGCTCCATCCTGGTAAGGGACCACGTCTTTCTTCTGTGACACTCCCTCCTCCCATGCCCAGCCTCTCCCAACATCCAGTCTTGACCTGTCCCTTATGTTGTGGGTGCAGAGCTGTGCAGTATATGTCTTTAAGCATTCGAGGCACAGAGCCTGAGGTTTAGGATAGCATTGCATATCAAGGCCCAGGAACACTGCACTAGGCCTGAGGTCCCCGCTGCACTCAGGTGACCAAAGTGGAGGAGCCCTCTAAGTACGGTGTGGTGGTATGTGAGGCTGACACAGGCCGTATTCACCGGTTCGTGGAGAAGCCGCAGGTGTTTGTGTCCAACAAGATCAACGCAGGCATGTACGTCCTGAGCCCTGCAGTGCTACGGCGCATCCAGGTGTGTAGAAGCCAGCTGCTGGGTGGAATGGGGTAGGGCAAGCCACCACCGCCATGACCCTGCTCATGAGCTGCCCACTCCCACAGCTGCAGCCTACGTCCATTGAGAAGGAGATCTTCCCCGTCATGGCCAAGGAGGGGCAGCTATATGCCATGGAGCTGCAGGGTGAGGCAGGGAGGCCACAGGGTGAGGGTGGTGTGTGGCTGGGCTGAGCCCCTGATGCATTCCGTCCCTACAGGCTTCTGGATGGACATTGGGCAGCCCAAGGATTTCCTCACTGGCATGTGCCTCTTCCTACAGTCACTGCGACAGAAGCAGCCTGAGCAACTGTGCTCAGGCCCTGGCATTGTGGGCAACGTGCTGGTGGTGAGGCCCTTGCCCAGCCCATCCTTAATCCCCTCAGTCTTGGGGGAAAACTGGCCCACTTGTATTTTCCCCATTGTCCTCAGGACCCAAGTGCCCGCATTGGCCAGAACTGCAGCATTGGCCCCAACGTGAGCCTGGGTCCTGGTGTGGTGGTGGAGGATGGTGTGTGTATCCGGCGGTGCACAGTGCTGCGAGATGCCCACATTCACTCCCACTCCTGGCTCGAGTCCTGCATTGTGGGCTGGCGCTGCCGCGTTGGCCAGTGGGTAAGCCTATGGGCTGGGCCACATGGGGAGAGGGACAGGGAATGTGCCTGCCTCACTGATAAGGCCTTCTCCCTCCCCCCGAGGTGCGCATGGAGAACGTGACAGTGCTGGGGGAGGACGTCATAGTTAATGACGAGCTCTACCTCAACGGGGCCAGCGTTCTGCCCCACAAGTCTATTGGCGAATCGGTTCCGGAGCCTCGAATCATCATGTAAGGGGATGCCATGGGGCTGGGTGAGCCCTTATTTCCCCATTGACAAGGGGAGCACTGGCCTGACACATCAGAAGGCACTGGACTTATTGCCATTTGTCTGGGGAAGACTGGACGGGGCTGAAGTTGTTGGACACTTGCCTTCTTCTGTGGACATAATCTGGCAGGATCCTTGCTAGGTACCCCCACAAAGCCCACTCCTTCAAGAAGGGCCGGGCCAAGGCTGTATGGAATAATAATTTAATGCTCACTGTGGCCCTGACTGAAGGTCAAATTCAGGCACAATTAGGGCATGGCTGGGCTCCCGCCAATGAGTTTACAAACACAGGCCAGGAGGGTGGATGTGGTGGTGAGGTGATGGGGGCTAGGGCAAGGGGAACTCATAAATAGGGCCTGACCTGGGTCTGGGTTCAAGGGTGGAGGCACCTGCTGTGTGGGCTAGGCAGGCCTAGGTGGTCGAGGAAGTGGCACTCGCATTGGCTGCCTTCTCCCAGTCCTCTACAGATTCAATGGTGGCCTTGCAGAAGAAGCAATCCTTGTTGTTCATCAGGTGCTGGTTGATGCAGGCTCTACAACGGGAGGGGATGAGGATGGCCTGTGTATTTCTGCTGCTCCCCTCCAACCCCTGTGCCCAAGGGGCCCACTTACTTGCAGGACTTGTGGCCACAGGGCTGGAACACAGCAGAAATGGGATGAGCATAGCAGATGGGGCACAGGTCTTCCTCACTGGTGGGCTGCAGGGAGCAGAGTGCAGAGTGGGCTGGGGTTGGAGGCTTAGACACGTGGACATAGACTATGCCTAGGTAGTGTGCACACAGTTGTGCTGAAGTGTATTCGGGTGGTGTGGACCTGGCCCCACTCACCAGGGAGGCAGCAGCTGCCTGGGCAGATGCAGAGGTCAGGTGTGCCAGCATCTGTTCCACCTGGGCCAGCTCCTCAACACTGATGTAATCTGTGTCTGGGGGGTGGTAGAAGGTGTCAGGCCAAATGTGGCCCTAGAATCCTCAGCCTGGGAATTTGCTCTTCTTGAGACTCCTGACCTGGCCCAGCCCCAAATACTTCTCTTCCCTGACCCAGCCCCGTCCCACTCACAGCTCTGTAGGGAGAAGCGCTTCCGGTCAGGGGCAGGCAGGGCTGTACCAGGGGCAGGGGGCTCTGGCTGCCCCAGGAGATAGCATATAGAGCGGAGCTGGAAGCAGGGATCAGCCAGGAGCACTGATGTGGCTCTCTCTTTCCTAGGTGAGAGAGAGTGCAAGGTAGTCAAAAGGCTGCCTGTCTGAAAGCAATTATTGGAGCGGTGGGGGTGGCGTGACAATCTAGCCCACTTGCATTATTGCCCTTTTCATCCCACCCCATCTCCGTGCTTCTTGCCCCTCCCTCCGCCCCCCCATAAGTCCTAGATCCCACTACGGAGCCATACAACCCGGGTACCAGTTTAAGGGGGTTCAGGGGCGACATGAGAAGATAATGAAAGTCCACCTGCCCCCTAATATACATTAACCCTTCAAAAAAAAACAAATAAAAAGAGCATCATTAGCCGGTTAAAGGTGGTCTTCCTCTTCTCTCCAGCGAGATGTGCGCTGCAGAATGCCGCCGACGCAGGGCAGGCTGGGGTTTTGGGGCCAAACTCGCGCGCCCTCTGGCGGCTACGCGGAGCCCTCGGTCGCCGCGGGACGCGGCTGCCCCGCCCCCTCCAACAGCAGCCAATGGGAGTGCGAGGCCCCGCCCTCTAAGCCCTCGCCTCGGGGAGAGTATTTAGAAGCGGAGCGCCCTGGAAAGCACTCGGAGCGAGCGGGGGAAGGACGAGAGGGGAGTGCTGACTGGAGTGCGGCTCTCAACCTGGAACCGGGGAGCGGGAGCGGTCCGCCGTGCGGGGCGGAGTCCGCATCCTACCTGCCCCGGCCATCGGCCATTCAGCGCCACGCACGTCGAGCCAGAGCAGAAGTGGGTGAGTCCCGCAGCTGCGCTCGGCACAGAGCTGCCCTGTCCCACCCCGGGCAGTCGCCACCATGACCTGGCTGGTGGTGCTGGGCGCACTGCTGTGCACGCTGCGCGTCGGGTTTGGCACCCTGGACTCCCAGGGCTTCTGGACCCCGGGGCCTCATAACTGCCCCTACAAATGTGTCTGCGCTGCCGACCTTCTGAGCTGCGCAGGCCTTGGGCTGCAGGACGTGCCAGCTGCGTTACCTGCCGCTGCTGCAGACCTCGACCTGAGCCACAACGCGCTCCAGCGCCTGCGCCCCGGCTGGTTGGCGCCCCTCTCCCGGCTGCGCGCCCTGCGCCTAGGTCACAACATGCTGGATGCGCTAGGTCGCGGAGTGTTCACCAACGCCAGCGGCCTGCGGCTGCTCGATTTATCTTCTAACGCGCTGCGGGCGCTTGGCCGCCACGACCTCGACGGGCTGGGGTCGCTAGAGATGCTGCTTCTGTTCAATAACCGCCTGGCGCACTTAGACGAGCATGCCTTCCATGGCCTGGGCGCGCTCAGCCGTCTTTACCTGGGCTGCAACGAACTCGCGTCCTTCTCTTTCAACCACTTGCATGGTCTGGGCGCGACCCAACTACGTACTCTGGATCTCTCCTCCAACCGCCTGGGCCGCATTCCCGTACCTGACCTGGCTGCGCTGCCGGCCTTTCTCAAGAACGGCCTTTACTTGCACAACAACCCCTTGCCCTGCGACTGCCGCCTCTATCACCTGTTGCAGCGTTGGCACCAGCGGGGACTAAGTGCTGTGAGCGACTTCGCACACGAGTACATGTGCTTGGCCTTCAGGGTACCCACATCCCACGTGCGCTTCTTTGAGCATAGCGGCATCTTTGAGAATTGCTCTGCTGCCCTGGCTCAGGGCCTAGAGCAGCCTGAAGAGCAGCTGCATGTGCAGGTGGGTCGGTCCCTGAGGCTACACTGCAACACCAGTGCCCCAGCCGTGCGCATTGCCTGGGTTTCACCGCAGCATGAGCTGCTTGTGGCGCCAGGATCCCGCAACGGCAGCATTGCAGTGCTGTCTGATGGCAGTTTGGCCATTGGCAACGTGCAGCCATGGCATGAGGGTGTTTTTGTGTGCCTGGCCACTGGGCCCCGCCTGCATCACAACCAGACACATGAGTACAACGTGAGCGTGCACTTCCCACACCCTGAGCCCGAGGCTTTCAACACAGGCTTCACCACGCTGCTGGGCTGTGCCGTGGGCCTGGTGCTTGTGCTGCTCTACCTGTTCGCACCACCCTGCCCTGGCTGCCGCCGCTGCTACCATCGCACCTGTTGCTGCTGCCGCCACTGGCCCCAAGCACCCAGCCCACTCCAGGAGCTGAGTGCACAGTCCTCGGTGCTCAGCACCACGCCGCCTGATGCACCCAGCCGCAAGGCCAGTGTCCACAAGCATGTGGTCTTTCTGGAGCCAGGCAGGAGGGGCCTCAATGGTCGTGTGCAGCTGGCAGTAGCTGAGGACTTTGATCTCTACAATCCCATGGGCCTGCGGTTTAAGGCTGGCTCTGAGTCCGCTAGCTCCACAGGCTCTGAGGGTCTGGTGATGACCTAGGCCACCCAGGGCCCCTACCCAGGCCACTGCCTGCCTGCTGTTTACCCGGCTCCCTGCTGCTGCCCAGAAAACTGCCAGATGCTGATGGGAAGCACTGGGCTTGGTTCCCTAGCCGCCTCTGTGAGCCTCAACCTAAACTAGAGCAGCCCCACTCACAGGTAGAGGGGCTGAGGTCCCCATCCTCTCTCCTGCTCCACCCCAGCACAAGACCCAAAGGCCCCAGGCCATAGGAGGGCCTGCTTTCTTTGGGACCTCCTGGTGCCCAAATGTCCCATGAGGATTGGAACCAAGGCCCATCTGGAAGAGCCCTTGTATTAGAAACCCAGGTCCACCCTCAAGGGCCGAAGCAGATATCAAGGAGTGGTGGTGAAGAACTGAAGCATCAACACCTTTCCCTTCCCAGGGAGATGGGAAGGGAGTAGGCCCACAGGGTAAGAGGAGGAGGACTCCAGAGGAAGACCTAGCCCCCAACCCGGGGTCGAAGGAGGAAACAAGCCCTCCCTCTGGTGAAATAGGACTCCCCATGCACCAAGATCCCACCTACTTCAAGCTTCACAACTCCATGCAGAGTCTGGTGGGCAGGCATGAAGCAGGCAAGGCCCCTTAAGAGACCCCCAGGGGGCCTCACCGAGCCCTAACCAGAGTGGCCCTGCTCCCTCTGGCCAGGGGCATCATCCACAGGCCATTCTGAGGACAGAGCCTCTCCCATGGGCTCATGAGACAGCAGTAAGGGGCACCATGGCCTGTGCCCCCAACTTTTCCGCTGTAAAAAGCCTGCTGAGCATGCCGAAAATGGGAGTGCCGAGCCAGAACTCGCCATCCCTCAAGGGTAGATGCCTCTTAAGGGCTGGCACTGGTCTCAGCCTAATGGCTGAGGGAGTGCCATGGCTTCATATGCATCTCACCACTCCTACTGCAGGGAGGCAGGGAAGGGGGTTTGGGAACCCCTCCTGTGTGTGGGCTGAGCTGGGGGGCCCCCACAAGTGTCCTGGATTGAGTTGTCATGGAGTTTCTTAATAAAGATAGTACATGCTCATTGCTGGAGCCTTCGCAGATGCAGGTAGCAGTGTGTGTGCTCAGCTCTTGATCCCAGCAGTGCCGTTCTGGACATTTCAGGATGGCACCCTGCCCTACCAGAGTCTTGTTCCCCTGCCTGAGGTGTAGCAACAAGCCAGTGGCTCTGACTATGGGCCAGGGCACCCTGTTCTGCTGGGGTCCCTGATTCTCCTACTCAGAGCTGCTGCTGCCACCTATTTAGGCAGTTCATACCTCACTGCCTTCCCTCTGCCTCAAAACCTAATACTGAGGTCCATTTTAGAGATGAGGAAACTGAGCTGCGGGAAGGCCCTGCCCAGCTCCCTCCCCATCAGACACACCCAGGTCCCACAGGGGCCCACAGTACCTAACACTCACCCTGAGGCTGGGCCATGCACTAGGAGCCGCACCAGGATGCCTGTCACTGCCACCAGAATAGGGTAGTGGTCCACACTCTCCAGGCCTAAAGGGAAGGGAAGGAAGGGGATGAGCTACCCACGCACTCCTGCTGCAAGGGCTCTAGATCTGCCTGGCTGATGCCATCCACCCCTCCCATTGTCTTCCCCACAGAAAGGAGAGCTAAGGTTGGGGGTGCCAAGCTTGGCTGTCCCAGTGCAGAATGGAGAATCAGGCACTGCTGCTCCTGGCAGGGGAACCAAGGCCAGTGGTGTCGGGTACAGGGCATCTAGGTCCTCACCAGGCAGCCGCAGGGTGACCACGCGGTCAAACAGGTTCCTCTCAGCCGTCACCCGGTTCAGCACCTGGTTCAGCAGCTGTGAGGGCAGGAGCCCATTGGTAGGTGGGTGGGCTCATGGTTCAAGTAGCTCCAGGGTCCCACCCTCCTTACCCAGAGGGACACACCTGTGCCAGACGCTGCAGCAGCATCTCAGAGGTAGGCCGGGCCCAGTCAAGGAATATCTCAGGCACCAGTGTGATGGTCATCTCCAAGACACGCAGCAGGCTGACCGAGAGGTCAAAGCAGGTGGCACATACCTTGAGCTGCCGACTGTCCACAAAGTTCCGCTCCAGGCGTTCAGCAGCCTGCTGGATCTGAGCCACCAACAGGGCGGGCAGCAGTCAGTGGCCTGGCCACGCTGCAAATCAAGCCTTGTCCTCTGGAACACCCTGGTCCACAAGGTCCCACCATGACCCACCTCCTGGATCATGCCGATGAATTCAGAGAAGGCCCAATTAAGCTGGTTGAGGACGCTGTTGAGGAAGCTGGGAGCCACGTCAGGACCCTGCCGCAGCAGGTCTGCCATGTGCTGCTGCAGTAGGGTGGAAGGGCACGGCTCTGTAGGGGCATGGAGAGGTGGCATCGTTGGGCACTCCAGTCTGCGGCCCCCTCCTGCCTGCCTCTGTCCTCAATCAGTGGGCCATCAGTATAAGGACTGAAAGATGGCTCCCTGGGAATGCTCAGGTCATGAAGGCAGGGTGACAGGGTACGGTACTGGCTGGGGGTTAGGGCTTAATCTGTCCCCTCCTTCTGCTGGGCAAGCTGCAGTGGTTTCTAGCCCCACACCACCCTCCAGGCCTAGAGCAGCCTACAGCCCCAGCCTGACCCCCAGCAAGTTCTCAGTCACATGCCCTTTGTGGAGAGCTAGACATAGACAGGGCCACCTTGACCCCTCCTCACTCATACAAAGGCCAGCTTCCCCAAGAGCCTACTCTGAGCCCTGCCGTCCTCTAATGTCCTCTGCTGCCCTTGGCCTGGCCTTGGCATATGGCCGAGGTGGTGGGTGCCAAATCTGGGCTTACAGGCAGCAGTAACCAGAGCCCTCAGCCGCAGCCAGGCTGGGCATACCTTCCCCGTGCCCCCACGCAAATCAATAGTTTCTGCAGCAGCAGGATGTGTATCTGGCCCCACCGCTGCTCTCCATTTGCAGCTCAGTTCCACCCTGGAGGAAGGACCAAGGCAACTGGCAAGGACTTGCTATGTAACTTTGCACAAGGCACTCAGCCTCTGGGGATCCCTTCAGGCCAACACACTGCCCACAAGGGCAGAAACACACCACGTGGGCCAAGGAGAGCCACCATGTGGAGTGAGTACAGCATGTGGCAGGCAGACTCTGCAAGCTGGATAGCCCAAGCCCCTGGGCTGGGCCTAGGTAAAGGTACTCAGGCTCTCAGGGCTTTGCTGGACCATGGTCCCAGGAGAGAGTGCAGCCTCTGCTCTCAACCAAATGCCCCTTCCTCCAGGAAACCCTATGGACACTCTTTGGGACTCTGGCCAACCCCCAGTCTGTGCCCCCGCCTTGACTCAGGTATTTAAGGTCTGGCACCAGCAGATGGCAATGAAGGGGAAGAAACTGGGACAAGTCTTGAGGTCAGGCAGCTGGCTCAGAGGGCAAGGAACAGGGTCTTCACCCTGCCTAATCTGCCAGCATCCTGGGAAGATGCTGCCCCTTTTCACCGTGACCCATGCTCCACGTTCAGGCCCAAAGGGCAAACATGGGACTGGGGAGCAAGGGTGAGTAGTTCCAGAGTATCCTTGGACTGGGAGGAAGCAGGGAAATGGGAACCCCAGAGGACAGACAGGAAGTTTGGGACCCAACATGAGTCCAGGAGAGGGTCTGGAAGAAGTGGGAAAATCTGAGAGAACCCAAAAGCAGCAGGCAAGAGCCACCAGCCTGCCCAAGTTGGATACTCACTCTGGAGGCTGGGCAAATTGGCATCCTCAGGTTTGGTTTTCAGCAGGTGTGGCAGCCGTGTATAGCGGTACCCAAACCCACAGCCCTGAGGGTGGGGTCAGTGGGAGGTCAGTGGGGCAGGGCAACGCTTCCCTCCAGCCAGCAAGAGCCACCTCCCCTCCAGCCAAGCTTACCCTCCAGAGCCGCACCAAGATCCAGTTGGTCTGGGCCCAGGGCCGTTGCTCATAGGGAGCCAGGAGGCTCCTCACCATGGCGATGCGCCTGTGAAGGCAAGAGGTCGTGGGCACAGGGTGAGGCTGGGCATTGTCCTGTGTGGGGCAGGGTGTGTGCCCCTCACTCCAGACCGCCACTCACTGTTCCTCAGGAATCCGCTCAACAGCCCGCAGGGAGTGTGGGTAGCACACGTAGCTGGCCAGGGCCTGCATCAGTGAGTCACGGATGTCTACTGGGACAAGCCATACCTTAGCAAGTGCCTGGCATGAGCTCTGACCCCCATGCCTCACACCCACCTGGCTAGCATTCTGTGCAGAAAATAGCCAGCCAGAGGTGCCATCCCATCCTCATCCCCCTGAGCCCTCTGTAGGTCACCTCACCAGTGCCCACGATGCGTGTGTCAGCAAAGTGTTTGGCAAGGATGGCAGCCAGGCGGGTCAGGGTCTCTTCATAGCCTGCAGGGCGGGGTAGTAGAAGCTGTTGGCTAGGAGTGAGGGCCCAAAGGCAGGCACATCCCTTGGCAGGATAGGTGGGCTTGGGTAGTGGGCTCCAAAGCTGGCTCCAAGGACTAGTCTTGGCCCAATCTGGCATCTGGGGACTTCAGGCACAGCATTCACTGACAGTTGGTGAGAGGCTAAGGTACAGACTCACTGTGGGGGTTGGGTAGGTCCTAGGAGGAGGGGAGGTCCTGGCAAGAGTCCTGACTGGGCTCAAACTCATCTCAGCACACACAGTTGATGGCTCAGCAGTCAAGGCCCCTTGGGCACCCACAGTTCCACCTCTGAGGACAAAGCCTGCACCCAGGCCTGGAGCAGGGCAGGGGGCAGGCCAGGGGCCTGACAGTCCATAGCCTGATCCAGATAGAAACCACCAAGCCCAGCTTGGAATCAGCGGTCTGCAAGAAGCCCGGGCTTCTAGGTGGCCCCCAGCAGGGTCCCAACGTCGCTGTGGTCTACGAAGACAAACCACTCTGCCCCTACATGGGCTGCCACACCCTGTGGCCAGTGCCAGGGCAGCAGGGTCAGAGGCCAGTAGGGTCAGAGGCCAGCTGGCTCCTAGACCACAGTAGCACCAAGAAGGAGATGAAAGCCGGGGGGATGGGGTCCCCCACCCTCTGTACTTCATTTTGTCTGTTTCCCTCCTAGCACTGGGGAGGATTTGTTGGTTCTGTGGCTACTGGTACCAGGGCAGGGCTCTCCACCATGTGAGGCTTTTGCAAATGATTGTTTGATACAGGGCAGAGCAGAGCAGGAACTGCCTCCTCTCCTCCCCACATGGACGTGTGCTGCTGGGCCATGAGGGCTCAGAACAGGGCTCCCAGGGCTCACACCAAAGGACCCCTTTTCTGTCCCCTCTCAGCCTGAATGGCCCCGTCACCTGGGAGCTCCTCCATGCTGTGCACAGGGCCAAAGTAATTCTTGAGAGCGCTGTAGCTATTGATGGCCACACTCAGGTAGAACTCAGGCATGAAGGCAAAGAGAGGACCTGTGCGGTCACCATGCTCGATGGTCCGCAGGCAGACGCGCAGCAGCCAGTAGATGTCCAGCATCTTCTCCTGCGGGAGGCACACAGCGTGCTGCTGGGCTGTTTGTGGGAAGGGTCACAGGGGGCATGGCCCAATGTGGGGATTAGGAAAGGCCTCTCCAGGAATATTATGTGAGAACTGAGAACTGGATTCCAGAAGTGGGAGCAGTGGCTCAGGCAGGGGTGATCAAGTACTCAGCAGGCAAGACGGGCACACCCAGCCTGGAGAGGGCGGCACCTCAACTCAGAGCAGAACTCGGGTTTGCAATTTTTAAAGGTACAGAATGCTTTGAGTGAGAGGGTGCCGTGTGACCAGAAGTCTGTGTTGGAACACTGCCCAGTGCAGAAGGCAATGAGGAAGCTACAGCCTTGCCTAGGTCCAAGACAGCAGACAAAGGGACTGGATGGCCAGGAATGGGAATGCACTGATGGGCTATGGGGGCAAGGGAATGGTTGCACCAAGAATGGGGCCCACATTTCTGGAGGTGAAGGAGCCTCCATGGAGGTCAAAAGTACCGGAGGAGAATCAGGCCTGATGAAGGGCAGAAGGGATGTGACTTAGGACATGGGAGGATGAGGTACCTAGAGATGCCCACAAACAGGTGGTGTTGAAGAGGCAGGTAGAAATTTCATCTGGAGCTCAAAGGAGAAAGTGGTGGGAAGGCAGGAGGTAGGGTGACTGCTGGTGGAACAGAGGCTACAGAAAGCAGACAAAACCTGCCAAGGGCCCTGTTCCCCACTGTATGGTTCCCAGATAGTCAGGATTCCACGAAGGGGCCCAGGAGGAGTCACTGACCAGAAGGAGGCCCCAGGCCCCAGCCCAGACCCAGAGCACCCACATCTCTTGGAGTGGAGCTGGAGCAACTGAACTTTGCCCCAGCTCTCTGACATGCTCTCAAACCTGAGAACCCGAGGAGATGTCAGAGGGTGGGCCTGGGCGTGGGAGCACACATGGGCAGTGAGCCAGGCCTGCTGGGAGCCTGTTGCCACAGAAGGCCAGAGAAGACTGAGTCTGAGGAGGGGATGGCAATGACACTGATGCAGCCAAGGAGCTGTTCTAATGGGAGTGGAGATGAGTCTGCAAAGGTGGTTGGGGGGAGCTCGACAGAGATCTTGTAGGACTATTTCAGAGAAGTGGAGTAGCCTGTGCTGGGCCAAGAGTGAAGGCGAGATGAAGAAGGTAAGACACAGAGAAGGAAGTGAGAGAGTGGTAGCTTTAAGCCAATATAGAGTCAAGGAAAGGCGTCACGGGCTTTTTCCTTTACTAATGCGAGAAACTGAATGAGAAAGAGGCAGGAGTGTGAGCACTGAAGATGCAGAAGAAAGAAGGCAGTTCAACAAAATAATGGCTGTATTATAAAAAGCCCACAACTAGGGGCCGTCTGGGTGGTGTAGTGGTTAAGTTCACGTGCTCCACTTCAGCGGCCTGGGGTTCGCGTGTTTGGATCTCAGGCATGACCTATGCACCACTCATCAAGTCATGCTGTGGCAGCATCCCACATACAAAATGGAGGAAGACTGGCACAGATTTTACCTCAGGGCCAAACCTCCTCAGCAAAAAGAGGAAGATTGGCAACAGGTGTGAGCTCAGGGTCAATCTTCCTCACCAAAAAACAAAAGCCTACAACTAACACCTTACTCAATGGTGAAAGACCGAAAGCTTTTTCTCTAAGCTCAGGAACAAGACAGGGATGCCACCCTTTGCCACTTCTATTCAACATAGTACTAGACATCTTAGCCAGAGCAATTAGGCAAGAAAAAGAAGTAAAAGGTATCCAAATTGGAAAGGAGGGAGTAAAATGATCGCTGTTCACAGAGGACATAGTCTTATATGTAGAAAACCCTAAAGATTTCACAAAAAAACTGCTAGAACTAATAAATGAATTCAGGAAATTTGCAGGACACAAAAATCGACACACAAAAATCAGTCATGTTTCTACACACTAGCAATGAATAATTCAAAAAGGAAATCAGAAAATAATTCCACTTACATTAACATCAAAAATAAAGAAAGAGGTGTAAATTCAACCGAGGAGGAGAAAGACTTGTACATACACTGAAAACTACAAAATGTTGCTGAAAGAAATTTAAAAAGGTGGGCCAGCTGTGGTGGCCTAGTGGTTAAGTTCAGCGCGCTCCACTTCGGCGGCCCAGGTTCCGTTCCCAGGTGCGGACCTACACCACTCATCTATCAGTGGCCATGCTGTGGCAGCAGCTCACACACAAAATAGAGGAAGATTGGCAACAGATGTTAGCTCAGGGTGAATATTCCTCAGCAAAAAAAAAAAAAAAAAAAATTTTAAAAGGCACAAGTTAATGGAAAGATATCTCATGTTCATGGACTGCAAGACTTAATATTGTTAGGATGTCAATACTACCCAAAGCAAGCTACAGATTTAATGCAATTCTTATCAGAATCCCAATGGTGTTTTTAGCAGAAATAGAAAAATCTATTCTAAAATTCATATGGAATCTCAAGGGACCCCAAACAGCCAAAACAATCTTGAAATAGAACAAAGTTGGAGATCTCATACTTCTTGATTTCAAAACTTATTGCAAAGCTACAGTGTGGTACTGGCATAAAGACAGACATATAGATCAATGGAATAGAAAAGAAAGCCCAGAAAAAAAACCTTGCATACAAGGTCAAATGATTTTTGACAAGGATGCCAAGACCATTCAATGGGGAAAGCACAGTCTTTCCAACAGATGGTGCTGGGACAACTGAATATCCACATGCCAGAGAATGAAGTTGGATGTTTAACTTTTATCATATACAAAAATTAACTCAAAATGGATCAAAGATCTAAACTTAAGAGCTAACACTATAAAACTCTTAGAAGAAAACATAGGGTAAAAGCTTTATGACCTTGGATGTGATAATGATTTCTCGGATATGATAACAATAGCAAAGGCAAGAAAAGAAACAATAGATAAATTGGACTACATCAAAATTAAAAACCGTGTATCAAAGGACACAATCAACAGAGTGAAAAGGCAATGGGAGAAAATATTTGTAAATCATAATCTCATAGGGGTTAATATCTGGAAAATATAAAGAACTCCTACAAATCAACAAAAAAACCCAAATAACCCAATTAAAAGATGGGCAAATGGACTTGAATAGACATCTCTCCAAAGAAGATACACAAATGACCAATAAGCACATGAAAAGATGCTCGACATCACTAATCATTAGGGAAATGCAAATCAAAACCAAAATCAAGAATGAGATATCACTTCACACCTATTAGAACGGCTATTAACAACAACAACAAATAGAGTAAGAAGTGTTGGCAAGGATGGGAAGAAACTGGAATCCTTGTGCCCAGCTGGTGGGAATGTAAAATGGTTACACCCACTGTGGAAAACAGTATGGCAGTTTCTCAAAAAATTAAAAATAGAATTACCATATGATCCAGCAATTCTGCTTCTGGGTATACACTCAAAAGAATTGAAAACAGGATCTTGAAGAATAGTTGCACACTGACGTTGATAGCAGCGTTATTCACAACAGCCAAAAGGTGGAAACAACCCAAGCGTCCATCAACGGATGAACAGATAAACAAAATGTGGTATATACATACCATGGAGTATTATTCAGCCTTAAAAACGAAGGAAATCCTGACAAATGCTACAACATAGGTGAACTGTGGGGACATTATGCTAAGTCAAGTAAATCAGTGACAAAAAGATTAATACCAAGTGATTCTACTTACATGGACTTCACAGAGTAGTCAAATTCATAGAGACAGAACGGAAAATGGTGCCTGCTAAGGACTGAGGTGAGGCGGGAATGGGGAGTTAATGGGTATAAGTTTCAGTTTGGGAAGATGAAAAGAGTTCTGGAAACTGGTTGCACAACAATGTGAATATAGTTAAGATTACTGAACTGTACATTCAGTTCAGTAATTAAAACGATTAAGATGGTAAGTTACATGAGCGTGTGTCTTTTACAATTTAAAAAAACTATTAAGATGGTAAATTTTATGTTATGTATATTTTATCACAATTTAACCGCTTGCACCTCCGGGCCGGCCCCTATCACAATTTAAAAAGAAGAAGAAGAAGGTATAGAGATGAGGAGGCAAAATTCCCAAGAAGATGGTGTGGGAGGGGGCAGCAAGATTGCTTAGGCAGGTGGACAAGAATGAAATCCTGGTGGTGGGGAGGAGAGGATGTCCCCTGACAGCGACCATCTTCATGGGGCTGGAGGCAAGGTGGTCTGCCGCAAGAAAGGAGGAGGTAAAAGGTGGAGGTGGTTTGGGTTGGGGAGGTGCCACCAGGAGAAAGAGCAAATAGAGATGGCAGGGTAGAGATGGGGACACCAAGGGCCTTGATCACCCAGTTGTGGGGGAGGGGCATGCCCAAGAAGATAGAGAGATGCCCTGACATGGGCACCTGGGGAGCATCCCAGGGCACTAGACGGGGAGAGATGCCAAGACAGGTAGGGAAAGGAAGGAAGTCCGGAGGGTCCGGGGTATGCGGGTCAAAGCATGGTAACAGAGGGAGTGCACTGTCTATCCATCTTCCCCTCGAGGCTGACTGCCCTGGGAGGACAAAGACTCATCTTCCTGGTTCACTACTGAGTGTCCATAGTATCAGGATGGCACCTGGCATACTCCAGGCTCTGGGCACACGTTCTTATATGAAAGAGTGAGTAGAGAACAAGCCAGTGGCCTCATCCTCTGGAATGGGAGGGAGGTGAGTCAAAGAGAAGCAGATGTGAAGAGTGAAGGCGAGGCTCTCAAGAGACCACAGAGCCCCTGATGCACTGGGAGAGGAGGGGGTCAAGAAACTGAGAAAAGGGGCAGGGCAGAGGGGGAGTAGGGAGAGACAGACTCTGTTCCTCGAAAAGATATGAGCTGGAGAGGAACTGGGGGGCACCTGAAAATGGCATCTACGCAAGTTCATGGAGCATGAGAGGTTCAGGGCAAGTGGCATGGGCTGGGAGGAGAGAGAAAGAGGGGTGGGAGGGGGCATGTGTGTGCCAGTGGCCCGGGAGGGCAGAGAGTACCGAGGGGCTGGCACAACCCTGCCCAATCTGTGACTAGTCAGTGAGCTTGGGGAGGGCAGCAGCCACTGGCCAAGGCCACACCTACTCACCTGAGAGTAGACCGTGGCATGGACCCAGGCAAGACGGCGACTCAGGTGGTCCAGCTTTTCCGAGAAAACCTTCTGGCTCTTGGTCAACTCCGCAAGGATGTCCTTCCTCTGCCACCCAAGGGGAAAGGAGGACAACCAGGGCATGGCCTCATGCCCAGATCCACCCTGTCTCCCCACAGGCAGCCTAAGTAGGGGCCTCACTGCTGCCTGGGGCAGGCAAAGGATTGGGCAGACTCAGCTCCAGTCTACAAAACCCTCTCCTCCCTCTCACCTGCTGGTGAGACTGAGCAAGCCTCAGAACAGGGCCATGGTTGTCCCCTGAGAATGTGGAAGTGAAACGCAGGTGGCGGTCTGTGAGTCCCTGGCTGGGCCACCCCAAGGACTCCATGCTAGAACTACAGCCCCAGTCGCTGCTCTTGCCCTGGCCAAGCCTGGGGCTCTGCAGACAGGTGGGAGCCAGGGGGCCTGCCAGCAAAGCCCAGCCTGGGCATGCTTGGCCCTACTCCCCAGGCCAGGAGAGCTACGGCAGAGGGGCAGCAGGGGAGTTGAGGAGACAGGCCCTGCTTCCTGCTGACTCTGCAAGTGGCCGAGGAAGCACTCAGGGTCGAATCCATAATTGATGAGGAGAGTGGGTATGCGTCAGCACTTAGTGGGCTGGGGGTGGGGGCACCTTGGCACAGGCTGCAGCTGGATGATAGGGCTCAGGCCGTGCTCGGCCCTGGTGCCAGGCCCGCTCTCACTGATGTGGTATGGTCAGGGTGGGGGCAGGGACCAGAAATGCTGGGGCAACCCCAAGAAGTAGGGGCAGGACAGCCCAGATTTCCTTTGTGGACTGCCCTGGGGACCCCAGGCAGGCAAGCTGCCCCTCAACACCCCTCCCTCCCAAAGACCCACCTGCCTGACCAGGCCTTACCCACTTGGGGCACCGGTGAAGCTTATCCTCTGTGTCCCTCAGAGCCATCGCATACTCATTGACATCATCGGACACACCCACCATCTAGAGCATCGGACACCACATGTCCAGCGTGACCTCTGGGCACCTCACCCAGGTTTCTCCAGACCCAGCCCGGACCCCAGCCCCGCCAAGCTCCCAACCTTAGGCCCAGGACAGTCCCCTCCCACAAAAGTCAAACAGGTCAGGGCTAAACAGTACTGGCAGAAACTAGTCTTGCTGTGGCATATGCTCACATGCACAGTCACACACGGCACCCCTGCAGACATGTGCATGTTTGGGTGCGTGTGCACACACACACACATGCACCCAAACATGCAGAGCCGCATGACATGCGCATGGACCAATGGTGCGAGACCTTGCCCAGCTGCTGGTGAACGCTGAGATTATACATGATGACGACGCCGTCTAGGACTTCCAGCAGGGAGTTTTCGGTAAGGGGCTGCTCAGGCTCCTCGGGAGGCCTCCCCAGCAGCAGGCCTTCATTCCAGTGGTTGCCCTCAACTAGGGAGTGGGGGAAGGGCAGGGTTAGGGTTGGGAACCAGTCCAGTTCTCTCCTAAGCCTGCAGAGCCAGGATGGGCCTCATAGTAGGAGAAAGAAGCCCTCTCCCTCTACCTGAGCCCAAGGAGGGACCTGCAGGGAGAACATGGGGGGAGGGGCAGGGCAAGGTCCTGCAGCTCCAGGACCTATTTCTGTAGCATCAATTTCCTGCCCTCAGAGTGCACTTCCCACGCCCTTGAGATGCTGCCAGGCCACAGGACAGGGAGGGAATGGGGGTATATCCTGGCTTTGCCCAGGGTGGGGAGTTGTACATGATAGAAGGATCCTTCAGTGCCATGCCTGGCCCTGCCTGGCACCTACTGTCCTCACGGGTCCTCTGCTCTGCGCTCAGTGTGCGGACCTTCACTTTCTCCGAGGTGCTCAAAGGCCGCCGTGGGGTCATCAGGCTCACAGCTGCTGTGCTGAGGAAGCGGTTGGCTCGGCCCAGGGTTGGAGAACTGAGCCAGCCGGGCCGAGGCAGGGGCAGTGCGCCCCCCACAGCCAGGGCCTGCATGGGGCGCTGTGGTGGAGAGAGGAGGCCAGACGCCACTCAGTTCCCCAGGACCTGGGCCCACTTAGGGTTCCCTTGATTTGTGGGGCTGGGGAATGAGAAGGGAAGGTTCATGCCTCCACCTTCAGCTAGGGAATCTGCCTGGTGAGAAGCTCCTTGCCTGCATGGAGGGGGAGATGGCCCTGTGATAGAGGAAACCCTGCCCTTACAATAGAGGGACAGCCCAACATGAAGGCCCCTGCCTGCCCCTACCACGGCACCTGGGCCGCAGCCGCAGCTGAGGCTGGCTCCTCATCCTCGTCCAGGTCATCCATGGTGGCTGCCTGGAGCTCCAATGGGTCGATCAGGATATTGGCCCTGGAGGCAAGGTCATCTGGGAGGAATGGCAGGAGGGTCTCAGGCCAGTCGAGGGGCGAGGGGTCACAGATGGAACTGCCCAGGACCACGAGAGAGCACCAGCTGGCTGGGCAGGAGGCCTTGCAGGGCCCCATTCACCACTCTGCCTGAGCCTCATCCCACCACTTACTCCACTTAGCCTTTACTTTGCATCGCTGGGGCCCTTTGTCCCATAGGGACTCAGTAGCAGGAGGCATTCCCATCACGCCCTCTCTGTCAGTCCCTCTGTCGTTTCCCGTAACCTCAAGCTCTCTAGGTCCCCCCAGTTCTCTGACTGCTCCATCGCTTCCTTCCTTGTCCTGCCCCATAAACAAAAGGAGATCCAAGGCTGCCTAGGCCTCTGCTCGCCTCACTTTGCACACTCCCCAGAGGGTCCAGGCCTCACTGCAGGCTTGTCCCCACCTCTATGCTGACAGCTGACTGCACCATCTCTGCCTCCAGCCCAGGCCTTGGTCCTGGCTGCGTCCCTGGGCACCTCAAACGCACGGAACTTGTCATCTCAGCCTCCTCCTGCTGCCCCTCTCCCTGATGGTGCCCCATCCCCACAGCCTCTGGCAAGAAGCCTGGAGTCATCCTTAGCTCCTCCCCACCTCACACTGCCTTCCTCTACCTCCTCTGTTGCCTGAACAACTGGCCTCCTATCTCTTTTCTTGGCCCTTGCACTCCATTCTCCACACCACAGCAGCCAGAGGGAACTTTTTACAATGCAGACCCCCAACCTCACTCCCCTGCCTCAAGACCTTCCAAAGCTGCCCTGTCCCTGGGTTGAGCACCTGCTTTGTAGCCCACAAAGCCCTCAGACTCTGCCCTTGAGACTCCTTGGCCTCATTTCCCATCACTCCCTGCCTCACATTTTCCTCTCCGGCAAACCAGCCGCTATCTATCTCCGGGCCATGGTGGGCTTCTTCAGGCATCCCTACCTTTGCTCCTGCCGCGCTCTCAGTCCTTTGCACTGCAGCTGCTGTGCTCATCCTTGAAAGCAGCTCAGGCAGCAACTGCACACATCCCCCTTCTGCCCTCACGACCTCGCCAAGATCCCATGGTCCCTTACTCTGTCGACACACGTGCCCCCTATTTCATTACAGGGCTCCCAGACTTCTTCTGAGTTGGGTGATCAAGGGAAGGGATAGCTGGACCCAAGATCCAGGGCAGAGTACACAGATCAGCATCTCCCTGCAGGAGGTCAGAAACTCGGGCGCCCTCTGGTGGGCACAGGGTAGCTCAGCACTCACAGCAAAGGTGGCTCAGGGACTGTCCCCCACCTGGCCCACACCGGCTCACTGCCCACAGGCCTGCACGCACCTTTGAGGGTTTTCCGAAGGTGTGAGAGGAGGCCTCCAAGGCGCTGCAGGTCAAAGTAGTCCACCTTCCCATTATAGAAGATCTGGGGCGGGATGTAGGCCTCTGCGAGCAGTCAGGAGGCCAGCCCAGCAGTCAGAGCCCAGCAGGCAGAGCTTCCCAGAGGCCACACCTCTACTCTGCCCTAGCATAGAGGGGACCCCTGGCCATGGCCACCTACCTGCCCAGGCACACAGTGTGGCCTCCCCCACCCTCTGCTATTTCAGGTCAGTGCCAGCAACTGCACAACTTGGAATGAAGGAGGCAGTCTTGGCTGTGGGTCACTCAGGAAAATCAGAGAGGACCCTGACCCAGCCCTGTGGGCTATCCCCCAATCCAGGGCAGGTAAGGCTCCCATTGACCCTTGAAGATTCTGTGCCACACAAACACAGGGCCCTCCGGCACCTCAGAGCCCACTCAAGGTGTCCCCTACAAAGGACTGCACAGAGGGCTGGGACTGAGGAGCCCGTGGTAGACAGGCGACTGTGAGGGCAGTCAGAGTGAATGTGGGCTTGGCAGTCCTAGAGTGCAGGGCTCCTGCTTGCCCCAGTGGAGAAGTTGCTCATCAGTAAGGTAGGACTCAAATGGGCAGGAGGCCTGGGACAGCTCCCCCACCACCCCCAGCTCAACACTCCACACCAACACTAGGGGCTGCCCTGTGCCTAGCTCTGCCTAGCCTCTATGACTTGAGGCCCTGGCCCCACTCACCCTCACTGAAGGAGGCACGGCAGTTTGAAGCCTTGTATTCATCCCAATAGTAGCGTAGGGCAGAGATCAACCGGTGTAAGAAGCAGACCATGTACTCAGGGGGGCAGAGCATGGGCATGTTCTGCAGGCACAGGGCATAACACATGGATCGGTGCCAGCCCAGAGCCCAGCCCACTCCTCACCCAAGGTGCTGCCCCAGGGCCCTGGGCTGAGTGGGGAGGGCAGGGCAGCAGAGGAAGAACAGGGCTAGACAAGGATGAGGCAGCCTGAGAGGTGCCAGAAGCCTAGGGTGCAGACCGTGCAACACAGCCAGGGGTCCATGGTGGGCTGGCCTAACAGACACCTACCCCCCGGCCGCTGGCATTCTCCTGCAGAAACTTTCGGAACTTGGTTAGGAAGATGTACCTAGAAGCTTCACCCTTCAGGGGAAGGAGAAAGCAGGCTGTGATGAGCTCATGATGCTGGCCCCAGACTGGACTAACTCAATGCTGTGCCTCAGCCTGGACCCTGCCATGGGAACCCGAGCCTGCCCCTTGCCCTCTGGGTCTCAAGGCTCAGTACAGCACTCCTTCCTGCTGGGGACCCATGCAGGGGTCTGAGGGTCACTCACCCCATTGTCATCTTTATTGTTCAACAGCAGCTTCAGGATCTGGACTTGAAGTTCTTCCACCACTGTGGGTGGGGTGAGACACATGACACTGAGCCCTCCTCAGGCCCGGCCTTGCCCTCAGGCTCCCAGGAATGGGAGGGGATAGCAGGTTTGGATCAGCGCTCCACCACCAAGGCTCCCTGAGCCCAACCTAGGCATGGTCACTACCAAGTACCCTTAAGCATATATGCACACAAATCTTCCACCCTCTCCCCAGTGCCCGAGGCAGGGGACTGACCTTCAATGCGCTTCTTCAGCCTCTGGCAGCCCCGTTCATAGGCACGCCGCCGTAGCCGCTCCTCGGGGCTCTCATCCTTCACGTCCTTACTCTCTTTGCCCTAGGCAGGGGCAAGGGGATGGAAGACAGCAGGGCTCACCCAGGACTTACCCAGCCTACTTTAGACAGAAGATGCCTACCCCACCTCCAGCCCAGGGACCAAAGCTGGGGAAGGGGACTCATGTGCTAAGTGCCCAGTAGCTCAGATACCCTGCGCCAGTCCTCACTACGACCACTGCCCAGCTCACCCAGATCCACCCACCTCCCTGCAGGAGCGGTGGGGCCACCAGGTGGTGGGAATGAGCTCCTGTAGGCCGGCCTCCTCCACACGCAGGGGGCTCTTGATGTAAAAGAAGACAACAGACCGGAGCACATCAAAGCTGGTGGTCGTCAAGGCAGAGCTCTGCTTACCAAACGGTGCCCCGTATACTCTCACGGGTCCTCCCTGGGAAGCTCTCCCAAAACCTCCCCAGCTCCGGATGTGCCAACCACAGCTCTCCCACTCCTAAGGGTGCCACTGCTGCCATGTGCCTGTCTGCCCCGACCGTGAGCGTGAGAAAGAGCTGTGGCTGTCAAGCCCATCAAGCCTGATTCCCAGCAAGTGCACGATAAAGGCTTGTTACACGAACAGATGACTGTGGGACAAACCAGAGAGAGGCTATGGAGGCCAATCTGTCTCCCAGCTTTGTTTCTGCCTCCTGGAGGCTGAGGACCCCAGAGAGAAAAGATGGCTACCAGCACAGTCTTCTCAGCCAAGAGCCCAAAGCTCTGCTCTCTCTGCTATTTGTAGTTTTCAATGTTCTGGGGAAGGAGGAAGAGCTGACTCCTTAGCTAAGATCTTATAGGAACCCTTGCCATGGAATGCTGATAAAAGTGCAGTGCTTTGGCTAAAGAGGGCAGGCCCTGGTGGCACCCCCACACTCCACGTAGCACAAGAGTCTGCAGCCATCCCGAGATCCCTGCTCGGGCTGGCCAGTCAGCCTGGGTCCTTTGCTCTACCCTCGGTGCTCTGTAGAGAAAGTGCTGGGAGGGCTGGGTTCTGGAACAAGGACTCACATACCGGGTGGCTCTGGTCCTCCTGAACCTCCTTGGGGACCCCTGGCCAGGGACACACTGCCTTCCCTAGCCTCTGCTGACCCCAGAGAGCACCACATGTCTGGCCTGCCTGGCAGCAAGGGGAGGATACAGGACATTGCTAAGCAGAAACTTGCGGGACTTCTCATGCTTCAGGATGGCGACGGTGAGCCGCAGGTGGTGGATCTGTGGAGAAGGAGTGCTCAGAGTGGGCGGGTGAGGCCCAAGGGGCTCAGAGCAGGGGCAGGAGCTCCCACCTGTAGGCCTAGGTCTGGGACAATGGGTGAGAACCGGTACAGCCGCAGCAGGGACATCATCAACTGCTTGAGGCAATCCTGTACCTCGTAGTCCTGGGGAGAGATGCAAGGCTGAGGGCAGGCTCCAGGACAGCCATCTGCGGGGCCTTTTCCAAAACCTTCCCTGTACCTCCCCCATCTCGGTGGAGCCTGACCTCCTGGCCTAAGGCCCAAGGTCAGGAGCCTCACCTCCATAAAGAGCCACAGGAGGTCCAGGACCTGGCGCACCACAGACTGTGCCTTCGTCGGGGTGCCCACCTCCACGATGCCCAGCAGGAAGTTCATGAGCACAGCCTCCACCAGGTACACCTTGCGCTGCACCAAGGCGGGGAACTGGTGAGGTGGCAGCCTTCTGTTCCACTCAGGGCACTCTTGCCCTGGCAAATGACCAAGGCCATAGCCATAGACGGACTCGTGGGCCCCCTCAAACAACCCCAAGACATAGAGTCAGCCCTTCTGGCGTCTGACTGAGACACAAGATGGGCCACTGCCCCACAGCCCCTCCAGGGCTTTGCACATGCAGTTCCCTTGGCCTGTAACGTCAGTACCCCTCAATCTTCTTTCTAGAACATCCCCTGATACCCTCAGCTGAAAGCATTTCCCCCTCTCCTAGGTGACATCCTTGAGGTCTGAAGGCTCTGGGCACATGGGGCCCCTGCCAGGGGATGATGCGGGACCTCACACACCTCAGCATCCCATCCTCTAGCATGGGTTTTTCTACCATGGCCTGCCTCTTCCCCTCCCTAATGTCCCCTCACCAGGAGCGGTGCGAAGCGATGGAAGATGTGGGTCAGTGTGAGGAGGACGGTGGGCTGGCCCTGCAACTGCCAGTGGGAGCTTTCCTTTTCTACCAGCCGCCCTTCCTGTGTGTAGGGGACGAGAGAAGACTGTGAGGGGAAGAGACCTGTAGAAGGCCCCCACCTGACCCGGGCCAGATCCTGACTCACCACGGGGTCCAGCTCCACACTGAGCACTGCCTGGAAGCAGCCCAGCAACTTCTGTGCCCGCACCAGGTCAGCACGCGGCGGGTCCTGCAGGGGCCGGTAGCCCGTCACTGGGTAGGTGCCACAGAGTTAAGCCAGCAATACTCCACCTGTGGCTCAGACACACCCACCCCTCCTCCCCACTGAGACCCCTGAGGAGAGGCCTAGGCTCTAGGGCAGGGCTGTGAAGTCAGGTTGCCTGGTTTGCATGACAACTCTCCCACTTACTCTCCGTGGAGTGAAACTTCTGCCACTTCGTGTTCTTCATCTGTTCAACAGAGACAATAATGGTACCCACCTAACAAGGTTGCTGCAAGAACTGTTGTCCTTGGCACCCACTTATGCTGTACCTTATTCACTCCTTGCAGAAGCCAGGGCCCACCAAAAGCCTACAGAGCTCCTGGAGCAGGGAGCCCCCATCCAGCCTCCCCAAGAGCTTCCAAGCAGCCCATGGCCTTTTTTCCAAAAGGATATCGCAGAGGACGGCTGCCAAAGTTGAAGGCCACGGACTCCTTGAAGGAGAGGCTGATGGCTGGGAAGTAGGCCATGCCCAGGCCCCGGGAAAAGTTCTCAAAGGCGGTACCCAGCGACACGCCATTCCTGGAGAAGGGAGGGCCTGTGAGCCAGTGATAAGAAGGATGCGGCCAAAATAGACCAGTGAGGCGGCCCCTTTTGGGGCTGCCCATTCTGAGGCTACCAAAGTGGGCCTGCCTCCCTTACAGTGACCAGGAAACTGTGGGCAGCCTGGGGAGGTCCCAGAGGCCAAGCCCGGGGATAGAGGCAAGAGACTCACAGGCAGAAGGACAGAGTGCCATCGTCCAGGTCAATCAGGCAGCTCACGATGTCCCCCGCTGCCCATGCCTGCAAGGGGAGGAGACCTTACAGATGTGCAGAATCCCAGCAGCCTGCCCACTCTGCCCCTCCTGCTGTGTCTCCACTACCACCTAGGGGAGACTGGCCACTAGTGCAGAGGACCCGAGTCCCTGGCTCCTCCCTGGTGCCCTACAGTCCCTCGTGGCTGCCCAGTGTCTCCTGCCAAGCTGTGGGGATGGACATGGGGCAGGTGGGCTACAGGGGGCTCAGTCCTCACCTTGCCATAATTCGTCGTGGTCACGTTCCACTTGCGTACCCGGTTGCCATCATAAGCATAGGAGTTGTGTGTATCTCCAACCCCCTCCTAGGGAGGAAGCATCTGTGAGGTCCAGGGGAAGTGGTTAGGGGCAGGGCCAGAGCCCACCAGCCACCAACCCTGGACCCTCAGAGCTCGAGAGAAGGAGGCTGATGCTCTGAGGGAAGGAAAGAGGGCTGTTTTCTGGGCTGGGCTGCCCTGGGATGGGGTGGGACACATTCCTCCTCCAGAGGACAGTCCGGGTTCTGGTCCTGAGCAGACCCTATGCAGTCTGGGGGGCTTCCTGAGCTCTGATGAGGCCTGCGGCAGGAGAAGGTCTCCCTGGGAGGGCCCCTCCCACACAAACCTCCTGATTGAAGCGGCAGTTGATAGTGCACCAGCCGATCTGCATGAGCCCCTGGGAGGAGATAAGTACCTCGTAGACCCATTTCCCTGGAAAAAGTGGAGTCAGGCCCAGCAGATAAACAACGACTGCCTCCAGCCTCAGGCCTGAGCTCTCAAACTTCTTCCCAACTCCCCAGGCCACAGCGGAGCGTAGGCTCACCTTTGTACACGCATGTGGTAGAGCGGATAGTACCAAAGTTGCTGTGTCCAATCACCTGGGTGAAGAGCAGGGGTGGTGAGCCTCCTCCCAGGCACACAGAGTGCCTCCCCAGGGGAGAATGGCCCCACCCCCAACTCAGCTCACGTTGGTGGTGCTTGCCTGTTGTGGCCAACGCTGCACTGTGCCTGAACAGGGTGGGAGGGCCTAGGCTGTGTCAGGAGGGATTGTAGGCCAGGAACATGATGGGACGGGCTCATGGCCATGTTGGGAAAAGCTTGGGGCTAAGGTCACACCAAGAGGGTTTCAGGGCTATGTCAGGAGGGTTTGGAGGCTGAGGACTCAATGCGCCACATCAGGAGGGGTTTGTGGCTGCAGCCCTATCAAGAAAGGTAGAGAGGGAGCCGGCCCCATGGCTTAGCAGTTAAGTGCGCGTGCTCGGCTGCTGGCGGCCCGGGTTCGGATCCCTGGCGCGCACTGCCGCACCGCTTCTCCAGCCATGCTGAGGCGGCGTCCCACATACAGCAACTAGACGGATGTGCAACTATGACATACAACCATCTACCGGGGCTTTGGGGAAAAAAAGGAGGAGGATTGGCAATAGATGTTAGCTCAGAGCCAGTCTTCCTCAGCAAAAAGAGGAGGATTGGCATGGATGCTAGCTCACGGCTGATCTTCTTCACAAAAAAAAAAAAGAAAGAAAGGTAGAGAGACCAGGGCCACATCAGGAGGAGCTTGGGGCCATGTGAGGAGGGGCTGGGACCTGGGGCTCCATGCTTTGCCCTCACTCACCCCCAGGAGGTCATCATCCACCAGAAGAAGCCCCTCAAAGCCACTCGTGTGGTCGAGGACCACAGTGGACGGGCCAAGCCGCCCTTCAACCTGTCCTGAAAAGGAGAGAAGTGGGTGTGGGATCAGGCAGGGCACAGGGTCTGATGGAACGCAAAGAGTACACTGAGCTCACCAGGGCAGCCCCCAGGGCCCAGCCTTGGCTTCCCTGATCCCATTCCAGAAGGTGCCACATACCCTGGTTCTCCTCATCCTCATTGTCCACATGTAACAGCTGGTCCAAATGCTCTGGTAGGTTCTGGAAGTTCAGGGATTTCCTGGGGAGAACAATAGGCTGCGAGGGGCCCAAAAGTCCTTGAAACCAGCCAGATGACACTAAACCCCTCTCTCATTCCCTTCCCCTTGAGCTTCAGAGGGTGGCTGCCTTGACTCCAGAAAAAAGGTTGTGCCTAGTCCGAGATTCTGGCATGCCAGGGGTTAGAAGGCTGGATTATCTGCTAAACTAAAAATCTGGTCCAATTTGGTGCACCTCAGGACTGTTAAAATTCTCTCATCTGTAAAAAGGGATCAACAGCTGTACGTCAGAGATGCTGTGACAATTCCAAGCAATAATGTGTGCTCCCTGCATAGCCCAGAACCCGCCCACTCTCAAAGGTGGCTGTGCTGATTACGCCTGGGAGAGGAAGGCTGGGAGAAGTGCCGATCTGCAAGGTGGTCAGTACCAAGGACAGCTAGTCCAGCCCCTGACCCCAGGCCTGTGGTCCCAGCCAGTAAAGTCTGTGTGTTGAATCAGACATGTCCTGGGAGGAGAAGGACTCAGCCCTCTAAGCTGCTGGCTGGCTCTGTCCTGTACCCACCTGTACAGGAGAGTAGAGTACATGGCCCACCTATCTGCCATCTGCCCCAGCCAAAGGGGCTGAGAAAATCTGTCTGAGTGGCCCCCTTACCCTCCCAGCACACATGCCCAAAGGTGAAGAGGCTCTGTCTAATGCTGGCCAGCTCTGTCCTGAGTTCAGTTGCTAAGAATAGCAGGGAAAGGGGTGGTGGTAACTAGCAGGGCTCGATCAGAGGCCCGATGCCCATCTGGATCCAACCCATAGACTGCTGGCCCCTGCTCTTCCACCTCTAACCCCAGCTCCTACCTCATTCATCTGCCTAAAGAGTAGACTCTGGGACGGGATGTAGATGGGCTAAAGCACTGACTCTCTGGCAAGGTAGCTTCAACCCAGGCTCAGGGGCCACACGCTCCCCTGCTGTGAGCTACTACTGATCCTGAGCTGCAAGAGGAAGATATGCCCGAAGCCTCCTCCCTAGTCCTGCTGAGTCCCAGGCCAAGGTCAGGTGGATACCATGCAATGGCGTGCCCACTGGTAGCATGGAAGGCTGCAGTCAAGCCCACCCCTGAATACCAACGGGTCCAGGGATAAAGGGGGCTTCCTCAACAGCAGTTCTTACTGGCCCACACTTGGGAGGACTGCTCTAGTCTTGTGCCTGCTCTCAAGAGCAGCTGTGGGTGGACGGCCCGAGACTCAGCCTAACTGAGCGCCTGTAGCACTGCCCTTTGGCCAACCCCAGCACTTGCCTGCCGTTTTTGGATTGCCCAGGTCTCAGCCTAGGGTTCTGCATCCAAACAACCACTAACTAATGGCTGTGCCACCTGCTCTTCCTCCTGGCAGCCACGGCACTAGCAGCAGCAGAGCTATTTCTTGTATCACATGAGGTAGCGATCAGGTGGCCCTGGGAACAGGCCAGGACAGGGCTTGGGTGGAGGTGGGCAGTAGCCCTCCACAAGTAGGAATGCTTTGGCCACCACAGCTGCTTAAATGGAACAGGCAACAATGCTGCCCTTTGTGCCCGCCCAGAGAGCAGAGATTGTGGAAGACAGAAGAGCCCAGGCTGGCAAGGGGGCTGAGAGATAGGGACACCCATGCCTCGCTGCAGGGAGGCAGAATCTACATGACCTTTTGAAGAAGTAATTTAGCAACAGTCTTAAAAGTGATTGCTCTAGCTGCATGATTCCAACCCTGGGTATCCTCACAGCACTGTTTCCAAAACAAAAGCCCCTCCAAAACAGGACAGTGTTAAGGGCTCCAGCAGACCTGTGGCCCTAAAAGATGCCCACCAAGATCAATTTGTAATGTAGAAAAGCACTCAAGGAATAATGTGTGATTTGATCCTATTGACAAAAAATAGGATCTAAACTTCTATATGCTTTTGGAGGTGAGAGATATGTCCATTATCTTGATGGTAGTGATGGGTCCACAGGTAATTCATATTAAAACTTATTGAGTTGTACACTTTGAATACATGCGGTTTATTGTATGTCAATTATTTCTTTCTTTTTTTTTTTAAAGATTTTATTTATTTATTTTTCCCCCCAAAGCCCCAGTAGATAGTTGTATGTCATAGCTGCACATCTTTCTAGTTGCTGTATGTGGGACGCGGCCTCAGCATGGCCGGAGAAATGGTGCGCGCCCGGGGTTCCGAACCCAGGCCGCCAGCAGCAGAGCGCGCGCACTTAACCGCTAAGCCACAGGGCCGGCCCTGTCAATTATTTCTCAATAAAACTTTTTTTAAAAGAACTGAACTGAACATGACAGAAATTTCTTAAAAATTTTCTATACAGCATAATGCAAACTACATACATCGTGAGATAAAGAAAATAGAAAGGAATCATGCTCAAATGGTCATGTTAGAGTAACAAGATGACAGACACTTTTTCTTCTTCTATCTATTTCTAGGTTTCTGGTAAAGTGTACCTGTAACTTTGATATGGACTAAACTTAAATGCATTAAACTTGCAAGGAAAAAGGGCTAGTATGGTCTGCATTTTATAGATTCAGGCAGAGGCTACAGAGAGCCAGGGTCGGGCAGAGGTGTGGGCAGGTGCACATGGGACCAGATGCTGACTGTGGAGTAGGTGTGAGGTGTTATGCCGAGCCCTGAACGTGCACCACACCCCTAACCTCCACAACACCCTCAGAAGGAAGGTCCTGGCACTGCCAGGGGAGAGGAAGAAGCGGAGTCCAGAAGCAGACTCTCTGGCATGAGGTCTCACAGCCAGGAGGGGCAGAGTGAGAACGAAACCCAAGGCAGCCTATTGAGAGCCCAGACCCCCTTCCCCACAACACAGCCTCCAGCCTCTGGTCTGGTACCGTGGACTAAGAAGGGGCTACCCACCCGGCCATACCTGCTGGTGGCTGCAGTGGGTGCATGGTCAGGGGAGGAAAAGATGCGGTGCAGGTAGTCATTCAGTAGCTTCTCCTGCACGATGCCTGGGCCACAGGTCAGAAAGAAGAGAAGGGTCACATGGTCAGTACAGCTCCCAGCCTCTGCTGGCCCCAGAAGCTCCTGGTCCTAGGCTAGCCACAGGGGTCAGAAGAACAGTCACGTTGCGTGCACTGCTCCATGGTTGCTGCTGGAGAAGACGTGGCTCACGGGTACAACGGGTGCAGCAAGGCCTGAGGTTCATTGGACCTGGGACTTTGCCACCTTTGTCTCTTCTTTCTCCTTCCCTCAACATAAGGAGCCTCCTCCCAGCTCTGCCAGCCCTTACCTGTGACCCTGGATTTCTCAGCATCTGAGGTCAGCCTGTAGCTCTTGCGGGAGAAAGACACGCCAGCCCCTTTGAACGCCATCCTTCATGTCTTGTGGGCAGCCAGTGGTCCTGGGGGCTGAGCCAGAGGCAGAGCCTGTCTATGCGAAGCCAGCAAAGGGTCCCCACACTGACCTCAGTCCTGAGGATGGCAGGAAAGCTTGGGAGCAGGTGAGGTCAGGTGTATGCACACTCGCACACATACCAACGCAGAGCAGAGCAAAGTAGGGGCTCCCAGCTTCCTACATGGGAAGGTGGGTGGGGTCTGGGCCCATGTGACAGGGCCTTACCATGTCCCAGTGCTCAGCACAGGGCTGGACAGAGAGCACGTGCCAGACATACGTTTGTTGAACCAAACTAAATGCCTCAACCCCAGGAAAATCAGACCAAAGTGTCCAAAGTGAGGTGGCCAAAGGGCAGAGCCCCTGTATCCTTCTCAGTCGTAAGCCACACTGGGTCCAGCTCCTATCCAGAAGAGAGAACCCTACACCACTTTCCCCAAGTGTAGTCCACCATTCAAGGGCTTGGTGCCATCTCTAGCTACAAGTCTTGCTGACACCCAAGGCCAGGATCTCCTTCCTCAGCTCCAGGATCCTCCCTTCTCCTATCCAAAGGCCTGCTAGTTTTCTTGTTTCCACTCAAACACACAGACTCCCACCCCGTCAGAGCACCACCCTTGCCCAGTCCTCATAGCAGACCCCACTGGTCTTCCCACTGCTGTCGATCCCTCACATATCATGGTGTTGCTGCAGCTGCTTCAGAAGCTGCACTAAGTCGCTGGTGCCAGCCTCAATGATCTAGAGCTGTGGGGTCCCAACAATAGCCACATGTCGCTATTTAAATTTGAACTAAAGTTTAAAAAATTAAAAATTCAATTTCTCAGTTATATTAGCCACATTTCAAGGATTCAGTGGCCACATGTGGCCAGTGGTTACTGTAGTAGACACCAAAAACATAGAACATTTCCCTCATCACAGAAAGTTCTATTAGACAGCGCTGGTCTAGAGCCTGGCCCTCTAGCACTGCCTTAGACAACACTCCTTTCTCTGTAGCCTAGTCTCTTATCTCACCCCAAACAGGTCCTCTGCTCCCACCACACACCCTTGCCCATTCACAGTCCGCACCACGCCTGCCCCTCGGGAAGGTGACTCTCTCGCCCTGCCGCCCACCGCAGGCCCTCCGCCAGCGTTCGTGACCGCTGCCCCTCTCACATCAGAGCAAGTGCAGGACAGATTAGACGCGGTCACTCTTTTGATTAGTAAACCTTCCAGACATCCACGCTGAGTGTCAGGTGCTGAGGACCCAGATGAGAGGCAGATCTCGACTTTGTTCAGGGGCTCCCTGCCACGTCGATCCTGTACAGCCACACCGAGGGATCCGGGCTCGGAACCGAACCGACCCCTTCTCGGAGCCCAAGGACGCAGAGGGCAGCGCATGTCTCCCCCAAGTCGCCCCCGCCCGGCCCCAAGCTCCGGAGGATCCTCCAGGCCAGCTCCAGCCCGGAGTCCCGCACCATACGCTGCGACCCCCGCGCGGCGAGCACCCTCGCACCGGACAGGCCGGGGCCGCGAGGGGAGCCGCGGAGACCTGCCGGGCTCGGAGGTTGGCCGACCCTCACTCACCCCCAGCTCCAGCCGCGGCGCCCCGGCTCACAACATCCGCCCAGCCTCTCGGCTACGGCGTCCGTCCAGGGCCAAACCGCGCGTCCGCTGCGCAAGCGCATCCGTCCAGGCCCGGCCTCCGCCAGGGGTCCTCCTCCGCGGCCTCCACCCAGGTTGTTCCCGGCCTCTGTCTCGCCCGACAGCCCAGCCGCCTCCGCCCCACGCTGGCGCAGGAGGAGCTCCTAGCCCAGCTGTGTGGGAACGCAACGTCCTAACTGGGAGACCCAGGCCGCCTATCTCAACTCCTACTCATACTTGGAGGCCCGGCTCAGATGACCTGTAGGACGTCTGAAAGGCCACTCCTGCCAGGGTCCCTGCTACCTGTCACCCCCACCTCCATTCAGGCCAGATGGGTGAACTTGCTTACCTTCTCTGGGATGGCACCTTTGGCGGGGCGAGGGGAGCCTCTCTGGGCTCTGCTGCCACGGGCGTGGGCCGACCTGCCTACAGCTGGGGCGGATAAGTCAGCAAAAGGGGCGGGCTGCTTTGGGGCTGAGGCAGGGAACGCTCCCCACTTTACAGGGATAAGCTGAGGCTCAGAAAACTTTAATATCACCGCCTAGGGGCTGGAACTCAGGCCTCTGGCAGCAACCATGTCCACTCTGCCCTTCCCTTCAGAGCAGCCTAGGCTGCAGGGGGCCTCTACCCCCACCCTAGGGTATCTCAAGTGTCCCCACTGAACCTTTCCAATACCTGCCCACTACATAGGGCAACCTCTCAGGGGCTAGCTGTGCCAGAGTGAAGGCCCTTGCACCTCACCCAGGGGGCTGGAGGCCTGGCCCCACCCCCATTCCTGCCACTGGGTCTCAGGTCAGGCCCCAGCAGGCCTGGAATGGGGGTGTGGAGCCAGAGCCACCCAATCCCGTAGGGACAGGTTTCACAACTTCCCGGATGAAGCTGTGGTGGGTCACAGTGCAGCCTCCAGCCAGGAGGATGGGGTGGCTCCCACTCCTGCTGCTTCTGACGCAGTGTTCAGGGGCCCCTGGTGAGTGCCCCCCTATCCCTATCTGCCTTCAGGAAGGGGTTGGACCCAAGCCCATCCTGCTATTTGAGCCAGGAGCTCAATTTCCTACTGGGCATGGAGCAGTGAGTGACCTTGGCTTCTTGCACAGAACTGGGCAGCCGCAAGAATACACGTATACACTGCTAATTCAGGCCTGCATTAGGAAATCTGCTGTAGCATTGAGGCAGTGTTGGGACCACACAGATGCACGCACACATGCAGGCAATTATTCCTCATGGGTCTGCTCTAACCCTCTAACCTAGCATATGCCCTCATGCTGGTGAGAGCCCAGACTTAGAGTTGGGCCTCTGCCTGGCTAGTATGACAGCTCTGAGCCTTAGCATTCTCATCTGAGAGAAGAGATGGGACAAGCACCATAGGGCAAGCACCATCACCCACTGCTCTCATAGCGTATGTTTTAGACCTGAGCCTAGTGCCTTGCCTACTAAACAGGGGTGCTGGTGATAACCACCATGTCTGGGCCTCCTTCTCCCACCCTGTACAGGGGTCTGACCCTTGAATGTGCCCACAGAGTCCATCCCAGAGGCCTTATAGTTTTGATCTCCTGAAGGGCCAAAGTGAGGACGTGCTGATATACATGCACTGACATGCATGCCCACCCCACAGGGCAGCGCTCACCCTTGAATGACTTCCAGGTGCTCCGGGGTACGGAGCTGCAACACCTGCTACATGCAGTGGGGCCCAGGTCTTGGCAAGAGGACGTGGCAGATGCTGAGGGGTGTGCAGGGCGTTGTGTGCCCCTACTGGACTGCAGGCGAGTGGCCACAGGACCTAGATAAAACTGGGGGCAGGGGAACCCGGGCACTGGGTGACCTTGTGCCTCCTCCTCCCAGGGCCTTCCACTACAACGTGAGCAGCCATGGTTGCCAACTGCTGCCATGGACCCAGCACTCACCCCATACACGGCTGCAGCGTTCTGGGCACTGTGATCTCTTCCAAAAGAAAGGTGAGTGGCTGTGGAGAAGGGCAGGCAGGGGATAGGTGTACTGGGGCTTCAGGCCTTGTTGACCCTGGGTCTCTTGCTCCCAGACTATGTGCGAACCTGCATCACGGACAATGGTGTCAAGTACCGGGGCACCGTGGCCATCACCACGGGTGGCCTACCCTGCCAGCACTGGAGCCACAGGTTCCCCAATGACCACAAGTGAGACACACCTCCCCTCTGTCCCTGCCCAGCGAGCACCTGCCCTCACTCAGCAAGCACTGTATTGCTGCTCTCTGCCGCTAGGTACACGCCCACACTCCGTAATGGCTTGGAGGAGAACTTCTGCCGCAACCCCGACGGAGACCCGGGAGGTCCCTGGTGCTACACGACAGACCCTGCCGTGCGCTTCCAGAGCTGCGGCATCAAGTCCTGCCGGCAGGGTAGGCTGCTCGGAGGCGAGTCTTGGGCGGGAGGAGCATGCCCACGCCCATCCACGAACCCACCGGCCCTGTGTCTCTAGCCGCTTGCGTTTGGTGCAATGGCGAGGATTACCGCGGCGCAGTGGACCGTACCGAGTCAGGACGCGAGTGTCAGCGCTGGGACCTGCAGCGCCCGCACGCCCACCCCTTTGAGCCGGGCAAGTACGCGAGGGCTGCTTGGCACCGAGGCCGCTCTAGGGAAGGGCCCAGGACTCCAGGGGCGGGGCCGGATATAAGGCGGTAGTTGGTCGGCATCAGACAGGGCCTGAGTCCCAGGGTCTTGTTCAGGCCCAGCTATCGCCCCCAGGTTCCTTGACAAAGATCTGGACGACAACTATTGCCGGAATCCGGACGGCTCGGAGCGGCCCTGGTGCTATACCACAGACCCGCAGATGGAGCGAGAGTTCTGCGACCTCCCCTTCTGCGGTAGGGCGCGGGGGCGGGGCCTGGGAGGGCGCCTGGCAAACGTGGGCGGGCGTGCCCTAGCTGGAGAGAGAGGAGGGGCTGGGCGTGAGCCGGCGGTGGTCTCAGCTCCCGCTCGTGGTCCGACCGGCTTCGGTCCATCCAAGGGTCCGAGGCACAGCCGCGCCAAGAGGACACCACGTTCAACTGCTTCCGCGGGAAGGGGGAGGGCTACCGGGGCACGGCCAACACCACCGCCGCGGGCGTGCCCTGCCAGCGCTGGGACGCGCAGCACCCGCATCAGCATCGCTTTGCGCCCGAGAAATACGCATGCAAGTAAGGTGGATGGCCGCCACTGGGAGCGTACTTCTGCGGGTGGGGCCTGAGGAGGGTTCTGGGGCGGGGCTTGAAGGAAGGCGGGGCCTGGGGCAGAGCTGGAGGCTGAGCTCCAGCCGGCCGCGGCCTGGCTCGCGGGCTGGCGTGCTGGGACCCACCAGGGCTGAGGGGAGCGCCTCCCCAGGGACCTTCGGGAGAACTTCTGCCGTAACCCCGATGGCTCGGAGGCGCCCTGGTGCTTCACATCGCGGCCTGGCATGCGCGTGGCCTTCTGCTACCAGATCCGGCGCTGCACCGACGACGTGCGGCCTGAGGGTAAGGCCCGAGCTGGGGCTGGAGGCATAGAGCCGGAGGGCTGGGGTGAGAATGGGCTCACGGCTCCCTGCCGCCCGTCACAGACTGCTACCACGGCGCGGGGGAGCTGTATCGCGGCTCGGTCAGCAAGACCCACAAGGGTGTAACGTGCCAGCGCTGGTCCGCGGAGACGCCGCACAAGCCGCAGTGAGTCCGTCCGCGCGCCCGGCCCCTCCCATACCTAGGCCACAGGCCCCGCCCGGGCCTAACCCTAAAGCGGCACGCTGTGGCATCTCAAACTGGGGCCCGGCAGGAGTTTGGGGTTACCCTATGACTTTGCTCCCCCTGTTGCGTAGGTTCACGCCCACCTCCGTGCCACACGCCCAGCTGGAAGAGAACTTCTGCCGGAACCCGGACGGGGATAGCCATGGGCCCTGGTGCTACACTACGGACCCGGGAACTCCATTCGACTACTGTGCACTGCGGCGCTGCGGTGAGCGCTGGTGACACTCCCCCAGGGCGCCGCCCCTCGCCTCCACCGCCAAAGGTTGGCTCTCTTAAAGTGGGTGCACTTGGGTCTTTCAGATGATGACGAACCACTGTCCATCTTGGAGCCCCCAGGTACGGAATTGGGCCAAGACTGGGTCGGGTCCCATTTGTCCCCCATCTCCATCCAGTTGGGGTTTCACGCGGCCCATCCTATCCCCCAGACCAGGTGCTGTTTGAGAAGTGTGGCAAGAGAGTGGATCAGCGGCACTCCAAGCTGCGTGTGGTAGGGGGCCAGCCTGGGAACTCACCCTGGACAGTCAGCTTGCGCAACCGGTGAGGCACAACTGCATGTCTCCTCAAGAGAGGAGCTGAGGCTATATCCTTTGTGCTTATGCCAGTGGAGGGTAGAAACCTGTCCCTGGCCTCAGAGGTCCTAGCCAAGAGATGGCAGGTCCAGCCTGTGTCTGAGGACTCACTGTTCCCTCTCCTAACCCCCACCCCTCCAGGCAGGGCCAGCATTTCTGCGGGGGGTCCCTAGTGAAGGAGCAGTGGGTACTGACCGCCCGGCAGTGCTTCTCCTCCTGGTGAGCCTTCCTTGGGTTTGGGGACCCATTCCCACCCTCCTGCCTTCATCTTCCCCTTATCCACCTTCCCCAGGCAAGCCAACAGGTGAGCCTTAGGGAAGCCGACTGAGTCATGACTGATCTAGCAGAGCTTCTCTCCCAGCCATGTGCCTCTCACGGGCTATGAGGTGTGGCTGGGCACCCTATTCCAGAACCCGCAGCCCGGGGAGCCAGGCCTGCAGCGGGTCCCAGTGGCCAAGGTGGTGTGTGGGCCCTCAGGCTCCCAGCTTGTCTTGCTCAAGCTGGAGAGGTGTGTGACAAAGTCAAGAGGGTGTGAGGTGGGGGCTGGGCCTTGTGGCCTCAGGCCCTGAGTGCCCTCATTCCTGCTAAAGACCTGTGGCCCTGAGCCAGCGCGTGGCCCTGATCTGCCTGCCTCCAGAGCGGTATGTGGTGCCTCCAGGCACCAAGTGTGAGATTGCAGGCTGGGGTGAGACCAAAGGTAAGAGTCCAGTACAGGGGCATGGATTGCTAAAGGCCAGGAGGCCCAGCCTTGGATCCTATCCAAAGGCCCTCTCTCTCATTCCCTTCACTGTAGGTACAGGGGACAATGTGGTCCTAAACGTAGCCTCGCTGAATGTCATCTCCAACCAGGAATGTAATGTCAAGCACCGAGGACGTGTACGCGAGAATGAGATGTGCACTGAGGGACTGTTGGCCCCTGTGGGTGCCTGTGAGGTCAGTGGCAGGGCCCCTGGCCAGTCCATGGAGGGTATGGGAAGTGAAAATGTACTACTTCTTCCCCAAGAGGGCTAGTTTCTGCCATGGCCCAGGGCCACCTCACCAGTTCTCCCACCTACCAGGGTGACTACGGGGGCCCGCTTGCCTGCTTTACCCATGACTGCTGGGTCCTGGAAGGAATTATAATCCCCAACCGAGTGTGCGCACGGCCCCACTGGCCAGCCATCTTCACGCGTGTCTCTGTGTTTGCGGACTGGATTCACAAGGTCATGCGGCTGGGCTAGGCCCAGCCTCAATCGTATGTGCCTTGGGGAGGACGGGGAAGACGAAGCTTCCTGTCAGACATAAAGTCACCTGTCCTCTTTACACCTGTGCAGGGTGCTTCTTAGGTTCTGCTCTAGGGAATGGATTGGCAACTCCTGGCTAGGCCCTGGGTGGCTCAGGCCAGCGCTCCCGGGGCTGGGCAATCTGACCCTAGGACTACCTTAGCCTGGGGGTGCTGCAAAAGGGCAGGGCCTCACTGGTCCCCTAGATACAGTGTTGGGAGGAGAAGGGTGATGTAGGGTAGTTTCTAACAGAAGGGGCTGCAGCAGAGGGAGCTAGCTTGGTGGAGTCCCAGTTGGCCAGGACAGGCAGCAGCTGAGCCTCTCACTGTCCCCTTACCTCTCACACTGGAGGTAGATGAAGTCCTTATGGCTACAACACCCAGGGCCTACAGTCTCTGAACCCCAAGGGTGGGGCTGGGGTTAGAGATGGCTTGGTACAAAGTACCAGCAGGAACTAGATTCTTTGTTCTCATTTATTATAACTATATAGCCCACATTCCTTCTCTCACCCATCCATGGAGTCCAGAATCCAGGAAGCCTTTCACCACTCTGCCAGACCCTGGGGGTCTCCTCAAGAGCAAAGTATGGCATAGGCCAACCAGCTTATGCAGAGAGGCAGGGCTTCAGGTGCCCAAGTGTGTGCACAGCCAGAGCACAGCATTCATGAAGCTGTCCGACTCCACCTCCACCTCTGATAGTGTGTGGGTGCTTTTGGGATAGAGCAGGAGCCTGCAGAGGTTGGGCAACAATGTTTGAGGTTGGAGGGTCCTCCTCTGCCTACTTGCCCACCAACTGCCAGGGCTGTCCTGCTGTACTCACCGAACAGGCACGTTCCGGGCCTTGAGGGCACGATAATATTCCACGCCCTGCTTGAAGGGCACACGCCGGTCCTCCTGGCCCAGCATCAGTAACAGTGGCGTCTTCACCTGGGCATGGGGAATGGTGGTGAGCAGGGCCCCGGCCTCTGGACGAATTGGCGGCCCACAGGGCAAGGGGAGGGCCGTGTACCTGAGGGGTATACTTGATGGGCGACTTGTCTAGCATTTCAGCCCACACGCTGAGGTCTGGTAGGCAGTCGCTGCTGTAGGGAAAGCCAGTCTCCACCACACACCTGCAAGAGACTGAGCTGATGCAGTCCCAGGAACTCTGGGACCTTCGGGGGCTCCATGGAGGATGGGGTGGAGGGGAAAAGGGCAGGGACCTGTGGGGCACACCCACCAGTCAGGGATGTCAGTAGAGCCCATCATGGACGCGATATTGATCACAGGGTTCCGAGCCACGCAGGCACTGTAGGTCTCTGGGTACTGACCGATCAGGTGACAGGAGAGGAAGCCACCATGGGAACCACCCATAAGGGCCACGCGGCCTGCATCAAAGTGTTCCTCCCGGAGCACCTGCTCTACTGCAAACTACAGAGTGGGGCGGAGCGTGCTGCAGTCAGTTGCCTGCCCAGCTGAATGGAGCCACACCCCTGACAGTCCACCCTCTGGCCTGTCCAGAAGCCCCAGCCCCTGCTACCTGGACGTCCTTCACATCCTGGTTGCCCACATTTCCTGGGAGGGAGAGGATGCTGTCCTGGCCAAAGCCCGTGGAGCCACGATAGTTCACTGGAGGTCAAGGAAGGACCAGATGGGGTGATCAAGCGACATTCCCAGCCCCCTGGACACCCTTTCACCCATCTGAAGTATGCCCTTGTGACCAGCTGTACCACAGACTGTCAAGGTGAAGGGGCCAAGAGATTTGAGGCTGCTGCCCAGTGACCAAAGCACCCTTTCCATGGAAGTTCTTAAGACAGTCCATGTTATCCATGCCATGGAGCCAGGCTGGGCCAGGGCAGTTCCCAGTATTGGTTATCAGGTCTTGGCTACAGAGAGGCGTAGAGACTAGGGTACGAGACCCATGGTCCTTATACAAACCAGGCCCACCCCATCATCCCCCACAGCCTTTCCAGAACCCTGGGCCCTGCTCACTCACCTAGGAGTACTGCAAAGCCCATCTTGCAAAGCATGGCTGGGAACAGCATCCAGGCAGTGACAAAGGATGAATGGGGCCCCCCTGCAGACAGGGAGCAGAAGGTGAAAGAGCCAGCTATGAAGGGTGGTGGGAGGGCAGGGGCTCTCAGGCCAGATGCCTACCGTGGGGCATGACCACCATGGGCACCTGGGTCTTATCTGGAGGGTTGCTGGGCTGCAGAAGGATTGCTTCAAAGTCAAGGCCAGCTGCAGGGAGAGGGCAGCAGTCAGCAGGGCCAGTGCTGCTACCCAGGGGCTCCCCAGCCAAGGCCTCAGTGGTAGCTGCAGGTCTGAGTCTGACCTCTGGAACAGAGACCTTGCCAAGGCAGCTCACACTACAACACATGGACTCCAGGAGGCTCACACTTCTGCCCTAGGCAGGGAGCCCCACTTTGCAGGCACAGCATTCTGGATGAGATGTGGTCACAGAGGCCTCGTATAAGGCCTGTCATCTTTAGACCTTGGTTTTCCCACCACAGATGATTTGGCCTGGTGATGCCCAGCTCTGATACTCAGAGCAGGCGCCCAGATGCCTGGACACTACTCCCCATGACTGTCCACAAGAGGAACAGAAAACCTCTTAGAGGTAATCCCAAGAAACCCCACAATGTGAGACAAGAGGCAGGAAAGGTGACCACAGATGCATGTGCTGGGGAACTTGGAGAAGGCATCCCTCTGCCCCTGGCCCAGCTCACCATACTGCACATTCTCTTGCTCTGGAGGTGGCTGCAGCACCCGGATGCCCCAGGAGATGTCAGGAATGGGCTCGGCCTCCTCCAGGGACACCCACAACACTGACTGCTCCTTCCCTGCAGGAGGCAGGAACCCAACTTTCTGCCAAGGGGAAAGAGTGTATCACAGGTGGCCCAGCTGCCTCCCTGCCCTTGCCCCTCTGCCCAGGGTAGGAGGTGGGCCCCTCTCACTATGCTGGGCCCTTTACCCACCTCCAGAGGGTACAGTATGGACTCCTGTTGTGAGCTGGTATATACAAAGGTACTCACACACATAAACAAAAATACCCCTTCTCAGATTCTAGGCTCTGCTGTCTCCCTGTGCTGTGTTATACCAGAGGACTGGGCACTGTCCCGGGCACCTTGTTCTGTATAGAGCAGACCCTAGCCCAGTAGTTCCCTCCCATGGGTGCCAGACCCTCATGGACCGTGCTGGGCTGTGCCTAGTTCTCCTGACCTGGGGAGCTCTGCCTGCACAGAATCCCTGCCTCCTGGCCTGGGATCTACCAACACTCACCAGGCTTGGGGGTAGGCTGGGCGTGGAGAACTGTACCACCATGAGGTCCCGGTTAATTGTGAGCAGCTTCCAGCTTCCACCTGACCCCCCTGGAGAAGGGAGATGTCACTAAATGCCTGGCAGGGGCCACCACCTTTCCCACCCACTCCCTGCAGAGCCAGAGTCTCAGGCTGGAGGCTCTATGACAAGGTTCCCCTTCCAACCTGAGAAGCAAAGGGACATACACAAAGGGACTGACACAAACCCATGGCCCTGGGTGAGCCTTCTACTCAGTCTGTTGTTCATCCAGCAGACACTGGCTGTGCCCAGGGACCACCAGATCTGGGGACACACCAGACCACCACAGCACATCCACCCACCACTTAATGACTACAGTCTGCAGGGCTGGCAGCTAGGCCAGGGGGTTGAGGGTTGGGGTGTGCCGATTCTGGGCAGTGGGGTCCAAAGAGATTCTAAGCAGGGACTGTGTGATGAGAGGCATTTTGGGAACAATACTTTGGTAGCTTTGTGAAGGAGCAGGTACAGTCAGGGTAGGTGGATGACTCCAAAGACATTTTAGGGGCAGAGTCACCAGACCTGGTGATCACCAGCCAACATAGGGCTTCTCCTGGGCCCTGGGGTGGCAGAGTTGCCACTGTGTGAGAGGGGGCACCCAAGGTTTGGGGAGGGGGAAAGATGACTCTGGCAGATGTGGCATAAGAGTTTTCCAGGTTTGAGGAGCAGGGGTGGGGGCCATGCTGAGGCAGGGCCAGGACATATGGTCTGAATTGAGCACTGAAAGGCAGTGGAGCAGGGAGGGAGTCTGTTGGCTGGCTAAGGGTCCTGCATGGGCAGGGTCCTCTCAAGACTATCAGTAAAAGCTGAGGAACAGTCAGTGGTACAGAGTGGCCGAGAGTGGCCGAGAGTGCCACTACTGCCCGGCATGTTCCAGCTCCGGTCCCACCCCTGGCCTGGCTGGCCCGCCCAAAAGCCCTGCTCACCAGCAGTCAGGGAGGTCACACTGCGCATCTGCGTGTCCACAGCAAACAAGTCCTGAAGCAGACGGGAGGCCATGTGTGGCACCACATCCAAGAGCCCTATGGGTCCCGCCCCCACCTCCTTTCTACCCTCTTGGGGACCCCTGCACCAGGCCACGGCTGTGAGCAACTATGGTGATGTCTATTCAGTGCAGTAGGAAGTGGCCTGAGGACCTGGGTTCAAATCGTAGCCCTGTCATAACTTTCTGAGTGACCTGGGCAAGGTAAGAAATGACTTTGAGCCAGCTTGAGGATGAAATATCACACCCAAAAGGAGCCTGGCACACTATGGCTGTCCCCACCCCATCCCTGGGAGAAGGGCTCTGTCCCATCTCCATCAGCTCTTTGTATAGTGTTCAGGGGCCTACCGCAGTGGCAGCCCCTTTGTCCCCAAGCTGGAAATGCCTCGAGGCGGGGGTTGCATCTCTGCCTCAGGGGAAAAGGCCAAGGGCTCTGTTGTGAGGCATGAGGGCAGCCACCCCCCTCAAGGAAAAGTGAGTCCAGGTCCAGGACAGGGGCAAGCAGGGCCTTAAGGGGCTGGTGAGACTTTGTGGCTGGGCTTTCCACCCAGGGGTGTGCATATGTTATGCTCCAGGCCCAGGGCTCCTGGGGGTTGGTCACAGGGCCTGCCTCTCAACACAATCAAGCCTGCCCCTTACCTGCCGGCTGTGCTGAGCTGAGTCAAAAACCACTCTCTGGCTGTCAGCCGACCAGCATCCCAGAGGCAGAAGGTTGCAGTAGATCCCGGAAAAGTTCTCTGCAAA